TAGGAAATCGTAAAAAAAAACGTATAATATAATAATGTGTATTACAGCCCAAAAAATTTATACGAATAAATAAAGAAAAAAGATAATAAAGTTTCGTGCATTAACCCGTAAAAACTAGTTTTATTTAATGAGTGATGTGCGTGAAAACCTAAGAAACAAATATAATAAAGTTGTTTCGCGTAATTGTTTATCCATGCATTACATTATTCGAATAATATAAAAGTATGCTACACAATGTATTTAATAAAATAACGTTGTTATATTTCATGCTACACAACAAAAGGGTAAAACTGTAACGTATAATCATGGCAGCATTTCGTTCAGGTTTTGTTTACAAAGCGATCACCTCAAATTTGATTTTGTTTAATTGAAAATATTAGTTTATAACTTTACTTACGTATGAAATGTGATTCCCTTCTGTTTTTTATTCATGGAAGATTGGTTTCTGCACGTTTTCACTACACAATTAGGTATTTTCTCTAATAAATATTGTTATTTATTATTACGTCACACTCCGCGCGCCTGAATAGCTCGACTGGGAAGCCAAGGCGTAGTTTCGTTGCATGTGTGTGCGTGTAACTGTGTATGTACACGGCGAGGCGTAGTTTTATCGGCTTCACTTTTTTGTTCGGCAGACTCCGTCTTTACTTTTTATTTGGTCTGAGGTTATATTTCATATAATGTAAGTAGAATTATATACATATTATTTCTATGTTACTTTAAACAGAAAATCAATATTATTTTAGAAATTTAATCTTCGGACTTGATTGACAAAATAATCGACTCGCCAGTATAAATTTCAGATCTGTCAATAAAAAATCTTAAGTTTCATCTTTGCACGATTTAGGCCCGTATTACAGAATGAAACTAAGTGTTGATCTTTACTTGAGTATAGTTAGAAAAAGATGTCGCTATGTGCTATATATAGCGCCATCCCTTTCTAACTATGCTCAAGACTAGATCAATCACTGAGAATCTTTCTATAATGTGGGCCTTAATGTTGTCATTTTTTATGTGTGAGTGTCGTAATTACAATAGCGTTATTGCAAAAGTATGTTAGACTGCATTTGTGTGCATATTCCTCCCCCCGCAAAAAGTGGCAGAATGATTTCAGTAGAATTGTGTCTACATAGCCCTCCTGGCCGCGTTGCTCTATGATATGGAACTGTAAAAGACATTTTTCCCGAAAGATACATAAATGCTCAAGAATAATTCCCATTGTATGTAACAGTAGTGTGATACACAAAGTTTCAATTAGCACTGCCATAACATGTACCTATATATATATGACCAGTTGGTTTGTTGGAAAATCGATTATATACTATAATCACAAGAATATAGTGTTTAATGTACATTTTTTGTATCTATGGTAAGTGTACTGTAAATTTTACATAGAAGTAAATAATCCCTGTAATTATTGAAGACATTGGTGTCGATTCTGCCATGTTTCTCTAAATCTAAACATAAATTTGACAACAGTGCATCTTTGTCATTCTTTATACAGAATGAGAAGGAGAGGTTGATGTTAATTTAGTTTTAAGTTTAGAGAATCAAGCTAGAATGGACACCATTAGCTACTTGTTTTTATGCACCTTCACGCAGCCATCGCATCTACAGACAATCTACAAATTACCTAGTCATATAAGAGTACAATTTTATTAAGAAGGTGATGACGAAGGCATGAAGATAATTAGAAGAAGGCTGATGTGAATTGTATTTGTCTGTGGATGTGCCCATGAATTGTCCATTTTCTTAGCTAAATTATGAGTCATATCAATGAGATACAATAAAGTACCTAGAGAATATGTTTGTTTTATTTCTGACTAGCGCCCGTCCGCGACTTCGTCCACGTTAATTTTAGTTTTTTTTTGTGAATTCCTAAAGAACCTATAATTTTTCCGGGATGAAAAGTATTCTGTCTCAATCCAGGTTATAAACTATATGTGTGCCAAATTTCATCCAAATCGGTTCAGCCGTTTTTGCGTGATTGAGTAGCAAACCTATAAACATGTGTGTTTATTGGAGACTAGAATTTCTGCGTATCTTTGTCACGAAGAAAAGCTGGTGATATCTCCTAAAGATGTCAAGTTGAGTTGTTTGTTTTATGTTATTTCCAAGAAACTTATATGCTATCTGGAATACTTACGAAACAATATGAGAATTAAAAAAATGTACTCTTAACTAGTTATACATAAAGTCCATTTTGTATTCTATCTTCATTAGAGGGAAAAACACTCCGAGCGGGACAACGACGAAAGTGGAATCTGTCCATGTCAGTGTTAATAAAAATAATTAAATGGTCGTTTTCCCATTATCCCGATAACCATTTATAAGAACAAGAACGTACAATTTGAGAGTTAAATTAGCATTTATGTTTGATTGCAGTTAGTATATTGATATCAATGCAACCAAAAATGTGTTTATTTTTATTAAAACGGATAACTTAACTAATATTTTTTTTAAATGGTAGTCATTGGCAGTAACTTGCATTTACGCATGAGAACACGCGATGCTTCCAATAAACAATATGGCGATATCCTACCGGATTGAACTCTTGTGATTTGCTGGTGCAAAATGATATTTTTTTATGCAAAATGGTGTAAAAGTGAGGCGTTTGCTGGTTGTGGAATTTTATTAGTAAGTAAGTTTTTTAACTTCTGTTCACAAATTACATGTGTTGGGTGACAAAACATTTTTGATTTTCCTACGGAAAGTATATGTCATTATTATCATCAGCATATTTATGTCCCCACTTGTGGGGCCTTTCCTATGGATAGAATAAGGAGATTGGGCCAAGGTCCACCATGCGGGCCTAAGGCGGATTAGTGGGTGCTAACGACTGCAGTTGCAGCCGGGACCAACGGCTTAACGTGCCTTCCGAAGCACGGAGGAGCTCCAGTAAGTAGGTATAATTTTGGTCACCCATCCAATAACCGACTATTGCGAAAGTTGCTAAACTTCAACGATCGCAGTCGAACGCGCTAACAACTTGCGCTATCGAGCTCTTCTAAATTAAATTAAATTATATCCATGGGAAAGGCCTATAGATGTAAAACAACCGATTTAAAACGTTTTAAACCAAATGTTGCCGTTTAAACCCCAAATAAATCGTTTTAAACGGTTGAAAACTGGCATACAAATATAAAAGAACTATGGTTTTAACACTTCATTATGGTTTTTTTTTTAATTTTGTACTAGTTCTTTATTTACAGTCATCATAAATAACAAACCCCTATGATAAAGACACAAAAACTACATGCGAACGTACCTACAATCAGGGGGTCATTTTTAAAAGCACATTTTGACATATACAACAAGATACATAGAGATGTTAACTGTTAAATGGGCTTGTGACCTGACTGTACATGATGTAGTTATTGTCAGCAAACTCCATCAATGACCCAACCTACCTCCTGTTGTATTCGCGCCTGAGAAGTGTGGCGGGCGGCCGGTAGTTTATGTATATATGCATGTGTGTGTAGGGTAGGCGAGCTAACTACTGCGTCGAGTAACGACGAGTGACGTCAACGAGAGTGCGAGTGTGAGTTTGGTTTTAAACCGAATCAAATTGATTGAATTGATTAAGAGCGTTTGAAAACAATTATTTTTTTATTTACTAACACAGAGTTTTTAACTTATGATAAGAGTTTTTATAACTTAGGTAGGTAATACCCACAGAACACATGGTTTAATTGGTTTTAAACCGGCCTTACATCTATAGAAAGGCCCCACGAGTGAAAACATAATATACTGATGATGATGATGACATAATTGTACTTTCCGTAGGAAAAACGATTTTTTTTATCACCCTACGCATGTAATTTGTAAGAAAGAAAAAAAAATTTTTCATTATCATCATCATATCAAACGTACGACGCCTGACTGTCCTGCGCCACTCGCCTATAGCAGCTTCCCGCGACCTTAACCGACGATCTACGTCGGTCTACCTCGTGTCGCGTCGTCTGGTGCATGGTCGCCATTTAAGAATCATTCCGCCCAAACTGCCATGGGTTCTATTCGCTACGTGTCCCATCCATTATTGCCATTTCAGCAGACCAATCCCTCGAGCGATATGTTATTTTAGTTCTCCTACGGTGTTCCTCGGGTTTCGAGTGCCGAATTCGGACACCCGAAGCAATAATTACATTGTTTTCGGATACTGGAACACGGGCAAAGAAACCTGCACTCGCGTTCAAGTTGCAACGAAACGAACACGGGCGTACTCGACTCCGTTCATTAAATGAACGGAGTCGAGTAGTGTCGTATTCGGGTAGTTTTCGTTTTGGTTATCCGGAACCGTCTTCCGAATAATGTCTTTCGTGCACCCGAATACGGGCTAACTACTTAGTGCAATTGAACCATAATTTTGTTTAAAATAATCGCTTTCATTTCATTCCGCGACGGTATAAATTGAGCCCAACGGCCGCACTCTAGCGTCAAATGAATTGAACTTTTTAAGCATTTAACTGCTAGATGTTTAAATCTAACTGTTCTAAGCCTGGTCCGCGTGTTCTTTTCTAGTAATTTTTTCTTTAGAATTTAACTCTTGTTAAAATGACGTGATGTCTTTTATTACGTTTGCAATGAAAGTGATAGCATCACTTCGATTATAGGTAGACCGCTTAACTGTAGGTATCCTCAAAGTTTGTGGGGGAGGACGAAAACGGGGACCGTGAGGTGCGGGCGGCGGGCACTTGTAATTTTGACAAGAATGTGCCGCAGGCGAGGTCTCAGTTAAGCGGTTTACCTATAAAGTAATTGTTTGCGTATGGTTTTACACAGAATGCTTGTAAAAAAATAAATTGTCTTCGACAATGAAATCTTGTTACCCAGGTATTTCCATTTGTAAAAATATCATACACAAAGCCTTCTTGAACGCTTAAAAATATAATGAATTGAGAGAAATAAAGCAAATGCAGTGTTTCAGATCACAGTAATTTATTGAAATATCTTAACAGCGAATTTACAATAAAAAAAAAAGATTAACATAATTACGAATATTCGATACAAGTATAAAATTAAAAAGAACCTTGCTGACACTAATTATGTACTCGGTACTATTTCAGTTCATAATCAATCAGGCAATTATTATTACGATAATATAATGATTCATGTTCAACACAATCATTTGTACTAATAAACCTTAATTAGCTTTGCTTTCATTAATTTAGACTTGTACTCCAGTTATGGCTTTAATGTTTTTGATGAGTCGCGAATTGGCATCTTTGTAGTCTACAGGTTGGGCATTCATGACCGTCGTTTTCAAACGGGTTTCATCCTGAAAATAAAAATATAATGCTAGCACTTCATATTCGTATTTTATTGACCAATCTGTATTTATCAATCATTATAAGGAATGAAAAGGGCAGAGTGATGAAGTTTACAATGAGCAAGACCAAAAGTAAACATAGTCTTTTTTTTTATTATATCCGTTTAATGCTTCCAGAATAATTAATTTCGTTTATGGATGATAAGACAAATGAGGAGCTGGCGAACAGAACGGTATAATTACGCATCTGGTCAAACTACTTTTTCTACAGTCCGGAGGTTGACCGGGCCTGACCCGTTGAATTTGAATCTCAAATAAATTTCAATCAAAACCGCCTAAAACAGTGTTAAAATTACTAAATTTATAAATTAGAAACCATGCCAAAAGCTCACTGGAGGTATGTCATTCAGTTTTATAAAGCTGCTGTAAAATTTTATTTTATGTAATTACATATACGGTTTTGTTCGCCAGCTCCTCAAATATTATGTATAGTATCAGAGGGCTTTTACCTTCTGAAGACACTCTCTTACTTCACACACAAACACTTGAAGATAACCATTTTTTTTTCATAGTAGGGTAGGCAAAAATCTCTTCCTCCCCTAATGTTAAGTTTTGGTAAAGTCCAGACGCGAAGATGTGTATCTTCGTGTGGCAAACAAGCTAGTAACAGTACCAAAAATATCACTCGCACGAATTCCGCTTGCGAATAGTAAGCTAAGAATTGAGTCACCAAATCTTTTTGCTCATGCATCACAGGAAGTGTTCAGAGTAATTGTTCGGATACCAGCTGCTGCTTTTCGCTATCATACATTGCGACAAAAATGTCATCCCCACCATCTTGGCTGGCATGGCTTGGCTGGCTAATCCACAAATCTGCGATTTTGTCATAAAATTTACCACCTACACCAACTGTGGAATAATTAGTCACCAGCAGTGTATCCCCGGAACAATACGACATGAAAACCTTGAAAAAAAGAGCGTACTCCTTCTTTAAAGGCCGGCATCGCATTTGTGATACACCTGGTGTTGCAGGTGTCTAAGGGTGACGGTGATCACTTATCATCAAGTGAGCCGTCCGCTCCTATAATATATATATATATATATATATAGAGTAGAACGCCGATTATCCGAATTAATTGGGACCGGGGTCGATTCAGATAATCGGACATAGACTGTTAATAAAGAAAAACGAACTGTCACACATAGAATAAACCTTAATCCCCTTATTAATAAACGAAGACTATGCTTGGATTAGTTACTCCATGTTTTGTCTCTGTTTATTGAATGTCAAATGGCATGGATGGAATCTAGACTCCAGCGAGTTCCAACTTGTTACAACAAAACAAAACAAAAATAACTTGGTTTTTTTTTTTTAATTACGCTTAGGACTGATTCGGTTAATCGGTGTTATACTGTATATATATATGTATATAAAATCGATTCCTTTTTAACACAAAACCCCAATACTCACACTGTAAGTCTCGATCTTGGTGCGGAACTTGAAGACGAACGTTCTGAACTTGACTTCTTCGAAAAGCTGCGCGTACGCATTCTTGTCGTAGTCGAACATTTGGCCCACTTCCGCGGCCGTCTTGCCCAACATAGCTTCGGCCGCTTCGTTGAACGCCGTTATACGCTGGTCTCCAGTGGGGTCCGATACATTCGCCTGCATATAATAAAATTAATGTATAACTCGTGTCGTACAAACTCAAAAATCATTTGCACTTCCACTTTAGATATTATGGCTCCATCGTTATGCACGATGATTCTGCCAATGTCAGGGTTAAGAAAGGCTCTGTTATATCGGTACTCTTCTTTGTACGGTGTGGTAACCCGGTTTCCTCGTGAAGCTATCGCGTGGAGTTGAGATTCTAGAATAGGACAACACATGTAACATCACAAGAAGCATACAAATTGTTGGGTGTCTTTATTAGTGTAGTCAAGCAAAAATCATTTATTCATATTTGTTTCTTAGGTTTTCACGCACACCACTCATTAAATGAAACACACTTAAACGGGGTTCAAAAGTCTATCGAAGGTAGATCGACAGAAGTAATTAAAAACATAATTCCTGGCGAATGCATTATGAACATTATGCTACTGCAGCCCTAATGGGAGTGTCGAATTTCCTCTAGCAATTCTAAAGCTGCAAGGGACCGCCATCTCTTCGTATTGTAGGTAACCCACACTGTCAAATGAATACTTTTACAAGTATTACACATTTGAGAGAGGAGCTCGATGGCGCAGGAGGCTGCGATCGTTGAAGTTAAGCAACTCTTGCAGTGGTCGGTCATTGGATGGGTGACCAAAAATCTTCTATCTCGAGTTCCTCTATGTTTCGGAAGGCACTTAAAGCTGTTGGTACCGGCTGCATCTGCAGTCGTAAGTACCTTCCAATCTACACTGGGCGCACGTGTTGGGTCATGGCCCAATCTTCCTATTCTTCCTTCCATCCATAGGGAAGGCCTGTGCCCCAGCAGTGGGGACATTAATAGGGCATTAGATGATGATGATGGAACATTTGAAAGAAGAAATAGCAATTACAGGAATATTCTTATTTTCTAAGCATTAAACTGCAAGATGCTGCAGACAGACGGATGGATACTATTTTTACCCTTTGGGTACAGAACCCAAAAACAAATTAAGAAGTATCCAATTTGATGCAGTTGTTCGGAAATTATGCGAGTACATTCATTTCGGCGATTCATTTTAACCATTTTTTTTATGACAAAGTGTCTAATTGTGAAATTATACTATTTTGAGTTTTATACTGTATAAGAGAGATACAAACTACTAAATAAAATTATATAAAAAAACATGCTCATACCCTTATATTTGGAAGTTGAAATAAAGGATTGATCCACAAAAAAGTTAGACAATGTTTTAAACCATGCATAGGCGAAGGCAACTTTTGCATGACAATTTCAATTTAAACTCGCGTGGAACGCAAACTGTTTTGTATATATAAAATAAATAAATATTTCCAACACTCACACCAATTACGTAAGCACTGTAAGGCTTGTGTTAAGGGATACTAGGGTAACGGATGGAATACATATACTGTACATAAATAAATATATTTATATAGAAATACATATCAAACATCCATGACTGGAGTACAAATACTCGTATTCATCATACAAAGATCTGCCCCCACCGGGATTCGGCGACACCATGAAACCGGCGTACAAACCACTCGGCCACGGAGGTCGTCAATATGCATTTTTACTATGTAAAACTAAACTTACCCCTAGCAGCAGCCGATGCTTATAGTTGGGGTACTCTCTATTGCACTTCTCGCATCGGAACAGACCGTTGTCTTGGTCCACAAGTTTCTTATTGCATTGCTCTTGTGGGCACGCTTTGTAGACGGCGTTGTCGCTAAAAGTGAATGTAAGGACCCCTAGTAAAAATAATAAATAAATTATATTTCTTTCACAATAGCCTTATTCATAAAACGATTGATAGCATGTGTTCGGAGTATCCGCTCTTACTTAACTTATAATATAATTTATAAAAGGCAGTAAAGTTTAAGTCATGCCAAATGAAAATGCAAAAACAGAGAGAAAGAATGAATTAAAATGAAAAAAAAAACAAAACAGTACATCCAGTCTTAAGATGAAAAATAATCTTAAGCCGATTTACACTTCAGTAAGTTCAGTTGCGAGTTAACTTACGATCTTGGCGAGTTAAATTTCTTATTATCGTTTGGACAGGGATTTGCCAGTTAAGTACAACTGCTTAACAGTCCGATTTCTAAACTCGCTACTAAACTTACCGAAGTGCAAAACAAACTTTAAGTATCAATAGGTATTAACAAGAATAGTTGTCTGAATGAGCTGAAAAAGCTTAGTATTTCCAATCAAGATTTATAAAATAGGGTAATATCAAGAAAGGTTACGCAAGTGTTGTGTGTGTGTGTGTTTGTGACGTGTGTTTATAATTATGTATTAATTTATACCCAGTAAACTGTAGTAATCCCCCTTTTCCCCGGATCCGAGTTGGCGAGCTTCTGCATCCGAGAAGCTTAGCCATTCGTTGCTGCCACCAGAGTATAAACCAGATCTGTGGATTGGGAGATTAGCTAAGTTGTGTTTACAAAAGCACATTGGCTAAATCAGGTTCACAAATGCATATCCTACTAATATTAAATGAAATCACTTTTAACGCGTTATATAGCGCGTTTAATGATTGGTGTGTAGTAACAGTAACATAAGAAACATCCGAGCATATTATAAATGTAAAAGTTTTGACGTTTGTATCTAATAGGTATATAAATTCTCGTGTCACGGTGTGCGTAATTGAACTACTCCGAAACGGCTCGACCGATTTTTGTGAAATTTTAAATGCATAATCAGTAGGTCTGAGAATCGGACAACATCTTTTTTTCATCCCCCCAAATGTTAAGGGTCCACGCTTAATTTTTTTTTTGGATAAATTATTTTGTTTTTATTTTTTTATGATACATCATAAAAAAATACATGCAACCCTAAATTTTTACCCTTCTGCCACCAACCCCTATTTTTTATGGCGGAACGAAGTTCGCTGGGTCAGCTAGTATTTGTATATTAATCACGCAGAAACGGCTGGAATTTTACACACAGTTTGTTACTTTTCAAGTGAAACTTCTTTATGCACGCTTGACTTTGGTAAACTGGCGAATGCGTTACGCATTACGAAAAGTGTGTTCGGGCGAGGCGAACGGGAGTTGAGTGGGAGACATAAGCAAGGGAAAGCAGTGCGCGCGCGCTTTTTCTTTCTCTCTTTCTCTTATAGCTAGAACAGTAGAATGCCGATTATCCGAATTAATTGGGACCGGGGTCGGGGACTGTAATTGAAATATGTATATGTACAAACATGTATATATTGTACACACATATCAGTGGCGTGGGGTGAAAAAAGAGAAAGGTAAAGCCGGACCAAAAAAACGACTACCGCGTGAATAAGCAAAACGTCATATTTTAACTTGTAAAAAAACATGCAATAAATATGACAACGTTAGGCCTCACACATCTTTAGCCACTCAGCAAAAATTAAGAGTTGTCGAGTTTGACTGCGAGGTGTTAATGCATCCGCCGTAAGTCCTGACCTTGCAACTTCAGATTTCCACCTGATTCGGTCTCTTCGGAATTATTTAGGCAGTGTCAGGTTACCATCACGAGAGTCACATCACTTGTCGTGGTTTTTTGATCAGAAGCCCCAACATTTCTATAGCAAAGGGATTGTGTCCCTTTCTACAAGATGGCAAAAAGTAATCGAACAAAATCGCACCTACAAATTTTAGTTAAACGAAAATAAATTTTATTAAAAAATGATTTGAATTTTCATATAAAATGCGAAGAAACTTTTTCCCCAACCTAATATTTAACTTTGTCATATAAAGTAATTGTTTTAGAATATATTGCCTGCACTTCACATGGGCATTCGAATTGGCTATTTGTCAACTTGACCACGGTCGCTCATTTTCACTCCATACAGAGTATGATAAGGACAACCTAATGTCAAAATCACAAATAGCAAATACGAATAACTTTGTTTTGACTTGACAAACGAATGAAAATAGTCTTTTACTGCGCTCGTCGACGACGTCAAAGGGTAGACCGATATGTCTGCCCATAACATCTATCCGCAATTACTTCAGTTACTCCGTGATCATGGCGCTTGCAACAGTGCCGAAATATCGGAGACTCATAAAACACAAGGTAATTATATATATTTTTTATTATTTTAAAGCATGTAACTGCTTGATGTTTAAATCTAAAGAAAATATAACTAGAAAAAATTCCACGCTGACCAGGCAGCAGACGGGACTCGAACCCGCAACCTTCGCAATCCGGGAAAATGCACTGACAAGGTAATTGTTAAAAATCCCGTTAATAGCTATAATGTTAGTGACCATGAAAGTTTAAAATAATATATGATATAAGTAGGTACACATAACAGTTTGGTATATATTACTTGGCGGATATATTGACGGTTTCCATTTCGGCGCCTCCGTTGTCATACCAGCCCCTCAGTTTGTGGGCCTCGGGTAGATCGGGGTTTAGTCTCATCATTGTACTCGCCAGGCAAGAGAGAGACTTGCTTCCATTGAACTCTGTTACTCGGGCACCCTTTTGAATAAATAAAAAGCAAACGTGAGTGTCATGAAACACTGTGGAAGCTAAAAATAAAAACATAAGTATAAGTTATCCTATTTCAACTAATTGTATAGTAAGTTTGTTACTCAATCACGCAAAAACACTGAACGAATTTAGATGAAATTGGATACGCATATAGTTTAGTTTATGACCTAGATTGAGATATAGGCTACTCTTTATCCCGGAACAATGACAGGTTCTTGAGAGATTACAAAAAAACTAAAGTTAACGCGGACGAAGTCGCGGGCGGCTGCTAGTTGACGTATAAAAACAAGTGCACTCTCAATCGCCTAACAAAACTGCACCAAAACACGTACAAGCGGCGCTGTGTTATGTCGGAACTTCGCTTGGCTATTCGTATTTGCTATTTGTAAACATGACAACAGTATGTCCTTATCACTGCGCGGACAGTCGGCAACGGTTGCCGCGACCACACCCGCAATCCCGGCGTGCATTGGGGGGACTGCGGTCCTCAGAATGTACGCCGGGTGACCGGTGCAGGAGTATTGTCTGGTTTTTAGTGACCCTGTTCAGGGCATTAGGTAGGGCCCTGCTCATTTCACCCGGCCTAAGGGCTGGCTGAAATGAGCAGGGAGGAGTCCCACATATCTTCTTCTTCTTCCACATATCTTCTTCTCCGGTGGTTGAAGGATGCATAAGGCATTTCCCAGACAAAAAAAAGTATGTCCTTATCACGCTTTATAATAAGCGAAAAGGACAGTTTTTTTAAGCTATTGTATAGCTTTTATCGCGGGCTTTGAGCGCGACGACCGAATCAAGATATTCAGTAACGAAAAAAACCTTGCAAGAGTGCATATACCAATAGAACACACAATTTTCGCCATTCCAGTATCAATCAAAATGGCTTAGTGTGTTAAATCTTTGCCACGGAACCAACGTTCGACGCATCACCGCGGTCGTCGGTTCAACTCCCGCACTCGTATTTTTTATTGATTACTTATTATTATTTTTTTTCTTTTTTTATATATTTGTTCCCTGTACCTGCTGTAGGTGAGACAGCGTGCTTTTTGGCCGCATCCACGAGTGAGTTCGAGCCCGCGACTAGTTGAACCTTAACGTGCATGTATATGGTACGACTGTACGAAGCTCGCATGTAAAATTATAAAATTATTTTAAACAATATATATTAACTTTTCACTTATTCAATGAAATAAAAAAAATGTTTTCATATCGGTCACCACGCTCAAAAACTGTAACATAAATTAATATCAAAGAAAAAAAAATGCTGCATAAATACATAATTATAATTTCATAAGTTGATAAAAAATGCTATGCAATAGCTTTACCGCGGCAGTCCCTGAGTACCACACGTATTTTTTTTATTTATTTATTCATATCATGAACCACAAACAAGTTTACAATGTTGCTTAATAACTATATTACAATGTTATTGATAGATATCAATTATACAAATAGCAAACAGGAATAGCCAAATGAGGTACCGGCATTGTACATATAAATAAACTTATACAGGAGACATTAACAAAGGAGATTGCTCAGCTTCCATACATGTTTGGCCTAAAGACCATTAATCATGAAAAATTGTTTCCTAGATTCGAAATTATATATAAATTACTGTAGAAACGAATATTATTGACGGACACCCCTGAGAACTTCTATAAACCATATACACTGAACATATTAAAATAATAAAAAACAAATAAGTTATATAGTAAACTATGGAAATCAAGCCAAGTACCGAAATTATGGATTAGATTCAGGTATATAGAGCATGTACATTAACAGATAGTTGCCTATTTTTAAAGTTAATGCATAAGAGTAACTTTTAAAATCAGGTGTCATTTCTGGTTATAATAAAGTACTCTGTGACAGAAACTGTGTGATGATGGTGAATGAGCCACAGATTAGAGAGAATTTTTAAACTCTCGTTAACCAAAGAAAGCTAAGAGATTTAGGTTCTATAGCCATATATTCAGTAGTTTCATTATTTTTGTTATGTTTTTAAGATAACCATATTTAAGATTTTTAGTGTATCACACCTAATAATTTTATTTATTTATTAATTTATAGTCAGGGAACGTAGGTCCATAGATAGATACCTTAAAGTCTAACATATAAACAGATTATAATGTGTTTAAGGAGGTGTTTGGCGAAAAATGTATGGCAATAGACTTTATGATGTCGCCTACCATCTATAATAATTGTCTAAGCACATTTGCATCTAGTGAAAATTATAATATAGTAGTGGATATTAGTACCACAGTGTAATAAAAAAAATATTTATTTTTTCGATCTTTACAAAATAGATTTGTTTTTATGGTATATAAACAACTTCGATCAGTCTTTGGCTGAATGTTACTACACCCACCCTGTGATGTTAAATTCTCCTCCACGGCCCTCTTCTAAGCTCACTCAGAGCACCGGGGGAACAATGAAAGAAAACCAAAAAAATTAAGATAAAGTTATAAGTATATTTTATCCACTTTAGATACCAAAGTATAGGAATTCAGTAGTTTTAAGTTATTGCTTATATAAATCAACAAGCCCTTCTATGTTTATTATTTATATAATAACTATGTTTCACTAATTATAAATATCTAAGCTGAATACAGTAGTTCAAAGTTAATGTGTATATAAACCAACAAGTTGTCATGAAAGGTTATAATTATATGAATATCAGACATTCATAACACTTTACCATGTACTTACATGAATTCTCAACTATATTTTATCCACAAATACCACATAGACTAGACTGAATAAGCTATTTAGTGGATTTCAGAGGTTCTACGGCTCGTTTGATCGATATTGGTGACAAACTTAGTTAATTCTAGTTCTCAGTGAGATAACCAGTTATATAGATATATGTATATATATGGAAATGGGTAAGTCGGGGTCCAACCTCGCCTGGTGGTTCTTCTCCACGCTCACCCGGGGTTAGTAGTGAAATACCTTGATTATGATAGGTTTAGCTGTGTATAATCTGTCTGCTGTTACGGCCGGGTTACATAAAACCGGAGAGCGGCTGGCAAATAAACTCCCGCGTCCCTTCTGGTCCGTGTACAGAAAAAGAGTCTCCTTGTTAGTCCTCCAGTATTTCTTGAGGGGAACGTACAAGCCTGAAGTTCACATTGAAAAAAAATGATCAGATATGGGGAAAATACATAGATTACCACATCTGTAGTGGGTGAGGGAGTGAGGGATATTCACGGTCAATGTTTACCCTTTAAAATTTGAATCACTACATGACTGGGGCCCATCCCACCGGGTTGAAGGAAATCAATTCCATGTTCACTAACTTGACAAGAATGATTACCTAATCACTTTATTTGATGACAAGAATCACTATATTGTGCATAATGCAGTTCAATTAGTGCTAGAAGAATAAATATGAGGTCAGATGATAGCTTACCGTTCGAAATATGAAACTATCCGTAAGTATTTTGTTTCCTATCACAAGTTACCGCCTTATTATTGCAACGCCTTGCGAAGGTTCGTGTTCGTCCACCTGCGAAACTCAGTTCGGTTAGCGACATCGCGCTATTTCCGCCAATATCCTTCAGGATATAAACTTTTCGGATCTATTTCACGACTCCGACGACTAGAATATGCCTTACAATATACTTTGGGCAGAAGAAAAGATGAAAAGTTAACTGTACCACAAACAGATTGTGAAATTTTAAATGTTGTTTTGACAATTGCTCATAGATGATAGACGGGTCGTCCACTCCCAAACATGTGTCTATGATTTGTTTCCCACTCCAACTGAAGGCAAAGGCCACAGTCAAACAGACAGCCGCCGCATTCGAGACGAACCGAAGAATAAACTCAAAACTATATACCTACGCTCGCCGTAAGCTGAGGAAAAGGGAATACCTACCCAAATCAGCGAGGAAATTCAATTTCGAGTAAAATTCAAAATCGATTAAAAACAGCACCCGATAAGGAGGACTCAAATCGATCTGGGAAAAACTATTCAAAATTCAACAACTGTCAAACTCCATCCATTCATCCACGCGCCCCCACAGAGATTCACTGCCTGATTACTTTATAAGTCTCAATGCGAATATTTTAGTCGAATAGAAAAATCGACTCTTCCCTCAAGGCTAAAAACCCAATCAATGAAGTTTGACAGCTACGCTGACGTAAGCGGTTCGCTATCATAGACAAAACAGCTGTCCTACGTGTGTCAGTGTCACGCTCTGTTTAAAAACAAACACTACAACCCGTAGCCATTAAAAATGATTCGTATGTTTTCCAAACCGGTAAAATTAAAAGTATTTTTTAAAGTAAATATATTATACAAAGGTGTCCGTTGAAATCTAATGACCGTAAATTAAATTATAAATTACGCCAAGAATTACTGTGTATGTCAATATTTTTTGTGCATTTAGGCCAATTTGAGCAATCTCCTTTGTTCATATTAATATGTATTGTCTTGGCACTACGATTCAATGTCAATTGTATACGAGAAAGAAAATTTGATTACGGTGCGAAAGAGACATACACGATCACGTGACGTGCGGGGCGCACTCGATGAGGGTTATTTTGTTGTAGCTATTAAACTGTATAATAATAATACAGTGAAACCTGGTTAAGTGGGACCTGGATAAGTGAGAAACCTCTATTATTGAGAGTAGTAATGAGGTCACGGTTCTTTTTCATTAAATTACCTCTGTTAATGGGACTTTTTCAACCTAGTTAAATGAGATTTGAATTCTAAGACTATTTCGATGTTTACCTCTATAATTGAGACCCTGAAGCTCAATTACCTGTATAAGTGAGACTAATTAATCAGGTTGTAACACGTTTTGACATGTTTGTTTACATACATTTCGCTGTATGTAGCAGTACTCTAATAATGGAATAACGGCACATTTCGACCTCTGTAAGCGGGGGCCTCTGTAAATGAGACAACTATAATTTTAAACCTGTTTAATTGGAAAACTTGATTATTGGATACCCTCAATAATTGGTACATATATCTTGGTCCCTTGAGATCCCAATTAACCAGGTTTCACTGTAATACTTTATTCCATAAATATATAATACAAAAGGCGTTCGATCATTATTATGATTCACATATTTTACTGAATTTGCGTAGCGTTTTAATCAAAGCGCGGTCGACACAACAATGATTGGAAATTCGCACGTGTAATTTGATTCCGACACCTTTTGAGCGCAACTGTGAGTATACTTGTTTTTATATGCCAATGGTATAGGAACACAACTACACACAATACGCTGCGAAACAGTTGTAATTGAAAAATATTACACTTTTATTGGTCTAGCCCCTGCCGCCAAGTCCGTACCGTCCGAAAAGGACCTTCGTTCCAATAAATCAGAAACTTTTACAAAAATCATCTTACTACAACCTTTGCGTGAATTTCCTACTATTTCGAGCCGGACGTGGATATCGGCCCGTATATGGCTCAAGTAAAAAGCGCCATACGAAAAATAGCAACAAGTAAAATAATAATAGGGGGGGACGCCAATGCATGGAATGAATGGTGGGGAAGCGTAAGAAGTGACGATAGAGGGGAAGAAATGATGGGAACAATAAACGATTTGGGACTCCATATTCTAAACGAAGGGGACAGACCGACCTTCCAAACCTGGCGAAGAGGAAAAGAGTATAAGAGCTGTGTGGATGTGACATACTGCTCGACCGACATGTTGGACAAGGTGCTGGAATGGAAGGTGAGGGATGACGTGACAACATCAGACCACAACACAATCTCATTTAAGATACGATTAGGAAACATAAATAGTAATAACAACGTTAACACTATAACAACAAGAAAGTACAACACCCAGAAGACAAACTGGGTGGAGTACAAAGAAGAAATACAAAAATTATTTAAAAATAATAACTTAAACAAAACAGAAATAGAAAAAGTAGATAGTATAGAGAAATTAGAAAACGTAATAGATAAATATACCAAGATAATAGAAGAAAATTGCAACAAACATATTAAACTAAAAAAGATGAGTAGTAAAATCAAGATTGTTTGGTGGTCTGATGAACTAGAAAGAATGAAGAAGGACAAAAACAGATGGAAGAAAAGGATAAAATGGGCAGCACCGAGTCGAAAAACATGGGTGGTCAAGCAATATATAGATATGAAAGAGAAATACGAAAGAGAGATGAATGTAGCCAGAGTGAAAAGTTGGAAGGAGTTCTGCCAAAAGCAAGACCGGGAATCCATGTGGGAGGGCATATATAGGGTGATAGGCCGAACAAGAACACAAGGCGAAGATCTGCCAATCGCGGGAGGGGGCACCTTCCCCAGCCCCAAACAGTCGGTGCGCATGATGGCGGAGACTTTGTACCCGGATGACACCGAAGTAGGGGAGAGCGAAGTCCACAGAGCAGTGCGTATCAGTGCGGCGGAAGCAAATGAGGGAGAAGAACATGATGTTCATGACCCCCCATTTGTGGAAGCCGAGCTGGTGCACGCCGTGGACTCGTTCAACCCGAAAAAGGCACCGGGTGGAGATGGTTTCACGGCCGATATATGCGCGGCGACTGTTAAAGCAGATAGCGAACTCGCTCTCGCGATGTTCAACAAATGCCTAGGCCTGGCCCACTTCCCGCATGGATGGAAAAAAGCAACAGTGATTATGTTCAGAAAACCCGGCAAAGACAACTATCAGGAGCCCAAATCATATAGGCCGATCGGGTTGCTGCCAGTGTTAGGAAAAATTTTAGAAAAGATGCTAGTGCGTAGGGTTAAGTGGCATATATTGCCTAAACTAAATTTAGGCAATACGGATTCGTGCCGCAACGCAGTACAGAGGACTCCCTCTATGATATGGTCCGGCGGATCAGGGACAAATGGTAGAGAAGAAAATTGTGGCCCTGATATCGCTAGACATAGAGGGGGCCTTCGACAAGGCGTGGTGGCCGCGTATCCGTTGCCAATTAAAGAACCTAAATTGCCCAATTAATTTAAGAAAACTAGTAGGCAGCTACCTCGAAGACAGAATGGTGACGGTGAGATACGCGGGAGAGGAGTTCAGCAAACCCACTAACTAGGGCTGTGTACAGGGGTCTATAGGGGGCCCCTTATTTTGGAATATATTGCTTGATCCTCTCCTAAACGAGCTCACCGACGCCGGGGTCTACTGTCAGGCATTCGCCGACGACATTGTTCTGGTAGTAGACGGAGGAGACTCCAAGACGGTAGAGCAAAAGGCCAACATGGGACTCTCCCTGGTCAGGAGATGGGGCGCGTCGAATAAGCTTCAGTTTCAAATAGAGATAGTAAATGAATTAAAAATTCTTGGCCTTAAAATAGACAGTAAACTAACGTGCAATGAACATATAAAATACATCTGCGGCAAAGCGACAAATATTTTTAAAGGTATACAAAGAGCCGCAAAGACGACTTGGGGTCTCCAACCAGAAATAATTCGGACTATTTATATAGCGGTCATAGAACCGATTATCCTCTACGCGGCGAGTGTTTGGCAGGAAGCTGATAAAATCATGACTGAAAAGAAATTCTCAATTGTGCAAAGGGAGTTCGCAAAAAAAATAGCAAAATGTTACAAAACGGTGTCACTTAACTCCGCCTTAATATTGTCGGGGCTGCTTCCGCTGGACCTTAGGGTCCATGAAGCATCCCAGCTTTATGAGGCAAAGCGAGGGAAACCCCAGGAAATATTAAGGGGGAGAAAGGTGGAGAAAAGGGTGTCCTTCATGGAATCGGACCATCCCGGTAGCAGCAGAGTGATAGGGATTGAATGTTTGGAAAATGAGGATGAGGATAGCAAACTGGCAGAAGGTCTTGTGAAGATCTATACAGATGGCAGCAAACTGGAGGGAAAGGTGGGAGCCAAGTAGTAAGTTTAAAATCATTTTCGAAAGATAGTTTGGCAAACACTTTATTTTGTTAGATACCTACTACAAAAATTATGATTTGAATAAGGGGAAAAGACATACCTTGACAGCTATCACGGGATTGGTGCTGCCTTCAAATTTCTCTGCCTCAGAACCCCATAATGTTAGAACAACCTAAAAAGACCAATAAGTTAAAATAATTATGTCACTTTTATGCGTTAATATTTCAGGATTAATAAGATTGGTATTTTTCTATTTTAATTTTGAGAAAAAGGTGTCACACGCATTTTGACAATAAAATTCAAACAAAATCATGAATACCAACCCCACCCCCTGAAGAATCTACTAAGGTAACTTCCCTCTTCTTCAGAAGTTTCCCTGTAGTTTTAGCAGTTAACTCTTGGAGATCAGCTGCAGATTTGCATACACCAATAATGTCTGAAATAATAAGTGAAGTAACTATTGAATATTTTTAATTTACTGTAAATGGGTTTGGAATGTTAGTATTTTAGGCATGCGAGATTGTGGATTCAACCATATCTATGGTAAGTAAAATAATAAGCTGCCAATAAAAATAAAAGATGCAAAGTCAAGGATAATTTCTAAAAGACAGCTCAAAAATTATAAATATATATCTACTATATTGACAAACTATAATTTATTATAGTAAATGTAATTTTTTTATAAAAAATTAAATAATTTTACCTACCTAAAGTAAATTAATAAAAAGTTAACATAATATTAAAAGTTAAACTAAATAAATAAAAGAAAATATTAATGTATTTTTTTAAGCATTTAACTGCTTAGTTCATAAATCAATAGAAAAATTAAACCTAGTCAGTCAAATTTACATCAAACATGCCATGCCGCATCCAAAATCCCAAACAGACCATTCTCTGTATATCCGTGGTTGTCTAGTGCAACTGTGCGAGATGCGATTCAAATTTTTATCTACTGAAGTTGATTTTATTATTGTATGTGTACACTCAAGTGTTATATTCATTACGTTAAAAATTTATTATTCTCAGTTAGTGAATTGTATTATTTCTTTTTGAGATCTAAAAAATTCTACAGCCATAAAATACTACAAAAAAATATAAAATGCTAACCAATAATGTTATCAGGACTCTTGTCTGCGATACTGTTGATGGGAATAAAATCATATTTGACTGAAGGCATTGCAGATGTATCATCTGTGCATTCAGCAACCACAGTTTCAGCAGTGAATGTCATCTCATAATCATTTTTCATACTTGTGAATTGTTTGTTGGCCGTTTTCAGCTGACATCTGCTAATGTAATAAACTTTGTCAACCTGAAAAAGAAATGTGTTTAAATAAATGTAAGCTAATATATAAAATTCTTGTGTCACGGTGTGCATAAGGGGCCGTTCATAAAATACGTCACGCTAAAATCAGCTTTTTCCGACCCCCTCTCCCCCTATTGTCATGCTGTGTCACACTGTGACCCCTCTTGAAATATTTCGTCACAAAAGCGGAGACCCCCGCCCCCCGGAGGGGGGACTCCCTCCCCAAGTATGATTAATTTCAATTGATAGTACACAAATTTTAAGAAGTTAAATATTTATTTAATTTTTATAATAAAATTTAAATATATAAATATGCGCTAATGTCGAAAAATACACATGAGTAAATATATCAAGTTACAATTTATTGTATAATAAAACTATATACGTTTGAATGTCTATATGTTTACTAAATACGAAATAAATGATTTTCTATCTTGATGAAAATTGAGAAAGAAAAATAGTTGAAAGAAATACTAATTTAATTTTTTTTAATGAACGACGAACGTCACGTTCCCGTAGACCCCCCGTCCCCCCTTGTCACATCTTGTCACATTTAGCAATACCCCCTCCCCCTTGTATGCGAACGTATTTTATGAACGGCCCCTAATTGAACTCCTCTGAAACGGCTCAACCGATTTTCGTGAAATTTTATATGCATATTTAGTAGGTCTGAAAATCGGACAACATCTATTTTTCACCCCCCTAAATGTTAGGGTGATCCACCATGAAGTTTTTTTAATTTACATATCCATCATATCACCCTCTTTCTTTTACGAGTATATGATAAATCTGATTGCGTCATGAGGGAGTCAGTATTCTTAGAAACATACTTTTTTGGATTTTTTGCAAAGAAACAATGCATAATACACTATATGGTAATAGTTAAAGCTTTGCTATGTAATTTTAAGTAAATGCATATGTCGTTGGATGAATTGATAAAATCGAATCTTTGTAAAAAATCCTTGAGATGGCGATCTCAATATTCCTGAAAAAATATAGAGCGCTGCGCCGAGAGGCACCCGGCGAAGCGCCAGAAAAAAGGATTAGTTAACAGTAAGATTGAGCAATGTCACCGCCATCGCACATCATTCTGCACAGAGAATGACAAGGACACACTGTAGTCAAATTTAAGTATAGGTTTAGAGAATTATGCCTGAATCAACATCATTGTCTAATTATCTATGTTTTCAGGAAAATTAGATGTATCAAATCATCCTACGACATATACATAAGCTAAAACATCTTTATAAAAGCATCACAAAAATTAATAAAGAGAGAATAAAATTTATTTCCTTTTTAAGGGGCTGATGAAGTGAAATGAAAATGAAGCAAATAAAAGTTGAACCTGTATTATATCATAGAATTTGTCGCACTCATTCTTGAAGGCTGTGGCTCTAATCTCACCACTCTCATCAAACAAGTCCATGCTGAACAGCTTCCCTTCACCTCTAGCATTACTCCATGTCCTTATAGCAGACTTGTTCATAACCCGCGCTTTGATTACCCACCTACAAAATTGTAAAAAACATTTAGATCCACCAAATAGTTATGAAGAAAGTTAGTTAGTTAACAAAGCAAGGTAATAATACCTAATTGACACAAAACTAATAATGTGTAAAAAACTATTGAAAAACATTTATTCAGGAAACATACTTATTTTGGTATGGACTTAAGCTGGCAATGGGATGTGTCATTTGTGAAGATAGAACACTGCTGTTTAATCCAGCGACTGGTGTGGGCTTAGATATTTGCATTGTTTGAGCAGTCGGCTTGGGCACTGGTTGCATCGTAGGTGGTGGGGCAGCCACTGCTGTCTCCTCTGACCATGTTTGTGGATTTCCCAACTTCTTACCGACTTCTGTTCCGGGTGCAAGAATTGTCACATCTAATATAATCATCACTCTCCTAAAATAATAAATAAGTAATTAAAATTGATATATTTGCTATATTATTAGCAATAGCTGTTAATAATTGAAATACTAGTCCTTTTTTGAAATTGTAAAAATTATTGGGTTTGGTTATCTTATATTGGGTATCTTACTTTTCCCCCTTGCCAGTGTTTTTAAGCAAAGATGTGACGAATCTGTCTATTTGTACAACTGAGTAGTCAGATAGCTCTCCTGTGATTAGTTTATCGTTTAATTGTGTGGCCAGCATGGCAAAGCTATGGGAATGTTTGCCATCTGAGACCAGTAGTCTATATCTTTCATTTGCACCACTTCCTTGGATTTTTTTACTTCCAAGCACTTGCATTACTGGTTTCTCGTAGTGTCCCCCATTCATAATGGTCTGTGAAGGAATAAGCTTGTAAGAAATTATGTATTGGGTGACTGCCTTGAAATAATAATTTATGTACAGATATTGCCCATAAGATTGTTTTCCGATACTATACTATATTAACGTGATTTATGGTAGGACAAAGCCAATATGTAATAGATTGTATAATGGATAAAATCTTGAATCACCTCTCGATCTTAACCGGCGTAAACGGATAAAGAAGACTGCTTTTATCTGAATAAGTCATTATGTTGCTAGCAAGAAAACATCTCTGAGTGTAGAATCTGTACAAATCGGATATTGCAACAGAAGCAATATTAAAACTTATCATAATTTCAAGTGTACAAATAAATACAAAGTTATACATTACTTGGAGGGATCCTTCTGACAAATTGTAAGCCATCTCGGCAACAGTTCAATAACCGATCAGGGTTCAAGTCCTTTCAGGCGTAAGTTGCAATCAATGCTAAAATTTAAAGGAAATTATTTATTGTTTTTTTTGTAAATTTATGAAATTAAAATTTTGTGAAAAGCAAAGCAACGTTTTGCGCGCGAGTTTAGTCAGAGGGTCAGAGTTGAATTTGACATTGACACAGTGTGACCAGAATAAATTTTACAAAAATATCGAAGCACCAAAAAAATTGCAGAGAAAATACACCAAAAAATATACTGATTTTTGACAGGTTTTTTTCTTGATTCATTCATCAACATATTGACGTGACAACGTCTTAAATTAGGTTGCGGCTGGGAGTCACTTATGAAAAAGTGTAACGCTCGGTAACGTTACGATGAGTCTCTCGTGTTAAGTTTAAGTTTACATGTACAATGTTTTAGTAAACAAAATATATTTCTATAGTTAAAATTTGTGCAATTCTTATTTTCATTCAATTCCTTGTTCCTATTGTGCAATTTAATTATATTCATATCAATAAATATTCTACCGAGAAAAAGACGTTGTCACGTAAAATCTTCGCCCGTAAAACCGACTTTACAGGCAACCATTTTTTTTGTTTATTAATCTATTTGTTTGTATTCTTTTTATCAAATTTATCTGTGAAAATATAGGCTCACGTGTAACATTCGATAGTGGTATAGATACATTTTAACAGAGATTTACTGAAACTAATCATATTTTTCTATTTATCTGTATTATATACATATAATATAGTTAAATAGAAATATATGACTATATCATATGTATATAATACAGTTAAATAGAAAAATATGATTAGTTTCAGTAAATCACTGTTAATACTATTTTATATATACTACTTAATATTATAAATGTGAAAGTTTGTATGTTTGTTCTTTGTTAGTACGTTCGTGAGTACGTATATAGATTTGGCCTGGATTGAGACATAGTACTTTTTATCCCGGAAAAATGTTAAGTTCCTGTGGAATTTTCACCGGCGGCCGCTAGATAACTATAATATTATTTATTTATAACAAAGAAAACCACACGTTCTATTTATATGACACCTTAAAAACGTACTACTTTGGGGAAGTTCCTGAATTCCTTATAAGATTAAACCAAAAGAACTGTTTAAGCTTGTACCTAGTTTACCTATTTGGTTTGAATTGACAGCTATGACGTCAAAATATGGCACCCAGTCGGTCCTATTCTTAGTTGAGTCGTATTATACAAAACGTTGAAGTTCCGAAAAGTCGATAAAATATACCAAAATGTATTAAAATACTGAATCCCATTTGTACTTAATATTTTTTTAACATTCTCCCTTTTACGGAAGGCAACGGGAACAATGCCTATACAGCCGAGGTGAAGCCTCGGTTTACATTTTCTTTACATTAGAATGTGGATGTAACGCATTCTAATGTTTCTTGGAGTGTTTGGCATGAAATGTATCGAGTCAGCTTTCCCGATAAGTTTCTGTGGGGTAGTCAACACAACAATGAAGTTCTCACGTCCACTTGACCGGAATAGCGTATATTTTAAAGACTCCACTAATTCTTCAGTTGTGCAGACGGTTGTAACACAAAATCACTCAAATTTTATTTCACAATATCCACTATGAACGAAATTAAGAATAACTAAAACAAGACGCCAACCTTTCTCGATAAAATCCCAGCAAAAACTCTATTTGTACTTTATAATTTCTCTAAAAATATAGTTTAACGGTCTGTTTCAAATATTAATCCCTAGTAAAATGTTAGGATAATCTGGTTCCGTTGTCTTAGAACAATTTTTATTCAATTTTATTGCCTAGACATTTTTATTATTAATAGCCGGTTTCAATAGTCAACCTGATTTAAAAGATAAGCATAATCTGGTTCCGTTACTTAGAAACTGTTGTTATTATAGTCTTAATAATACAAATATCATAGAAACTCGCCGTATGGCATTGTCTTAATACAACGCGAAAACGCGAATGAGCGATGCGATCATCGTACGAGTCGCCGATCAAACATATTAATAGGCGATCGCGCGATGCAGTCGCGCGACTAAAATGTTTAAAAATCTATTCGCGCGAACGCGCAATCAAACCTATTAATGATGAATAGGTGTCCTAACTGAAGTTCGCGCGATGATCGCGTCGCGTCGATATTAAGCGGGGAGAGGGGCAGGGCTAACTCGTTCCGTATTCGCGATCTATTAGGACACCCAGTTCGCGATCACGCGATGGTCGCATCGTTTAAACGCGCGATGATCGCGTTATCGCGTTGTATTAGGACAATGCCTAAGACTATAATAATAATTATTGCTAAGAAACGGAACCAGACCTGACCTTTTACTGGAGGTTAATAATTGAATCTGGCCGTAAATGAGTTTAACTCTGATGAGTTTAATTTTGAACAGATATTATTATTTTATGAGGGGATAGGGGTCCCACATAACCCCGTCAGCACCTCCCGGCGGCGGGGTATGCGTCATGCATTTTCATAACATTAAAAAAAGGCTTCCCTCCCATAGGCGCATTGTTATCGCTATATCTGTTTTTAGTATATTATGTATGAGAATGGCTACGAAGTCACACATTGCTGCGATCAGCTATAATAACGACGCACGAATAATTATATGAAATAACGCAACCGGGGCCTATGGGCTGGAGGTTTAAATGTCAATGTTGTGACAATGACTAATAATCACATTTAAGTCGTCAAATACATAGTAAAATATGCAAAAAAAAAATGGTTATCTATTTTAACTATTCGCTATGTGCACGACAGTAGCGCCACCTACAATGCGCAACTTTCCGGGATTATGCCAAATAATGACATCAGTTTGTATTTTATTGATTTCTAGTAAATATAGTAAGGTAAAGATAAATAAAAATTATTATATATTGTATAATAATTTAAATAATGTCGGATTTCAATTCGGAATTCAGTACAGTCAATAATAACTCTTGTATTGATGTAATCTGGACTGAAACACTTGGGCATTGGTGCTTGTACGGTGGCTCTATTCGGCCAAAAGATTAAATTAGCAGTTGAACAAGCTAGATTTTGTAAGATCGAATGAAATATACGTGAGATTGTGTTTTTTTTGTACACCAAATAACACACTCAATGCTGAAAATGTCAAGCCAGTTTTCATTTTTATCAAAAAAATCAGAAGTCGGTCTTTAGTGGAAACTGTACATTTTCTCATAGTTAATCTTGTTAATAAAAACTCAAAATTGCTAAATGACACACCAGAAGGATCTAGGAGTTCTTGATCATTTGTTATTGATGAAATACCAACAAATTCTTGACTTTTTGTTTCGGTAGATTGATCCTCATACGATTTTTTGTCAGTGCCACAGCTTTTATCTTTCTTTCTTGAATTATTTGTCATTAAAATTCTTGATGTTGGATCACAGTGATCACTGTAAATTAATCTAATACAAATAAAAGTTGTATCTCTTAATTTCGATTCAGAAAACATATTGACTTGACATCCTTGATCGATCATAAAAGGTTGAGTTTGATTTAATTCACTCCCTTCTTCAATTATTATTTGACTTGATGTGGTATCTGAGACTTTTGTGGTTCTTCGTTTTGTCAAGCGTGTATATCTAGCTAGGACCTGTGAATCATTAACCTTCCTCTTTCGATATATTTCAGGGAATATCGTAGGAGCATAACTCGGATTTTCTTCCTCGTCTGATTTTTTGTTTCCCATAAAATATTCACTACAAATTGTGTCGTCAGGTTTGGGATACCATGGCGACCCATCAACACTAAAATAATAAAGACAATAATGAATATCACATAAAATATATAGCGCAAATAAAATTGATCATAATTTAAGGTTATTTCGCTTACTTATTTCTTTTTATGGCATCTATCCATTTATTTCTTTGATTTAATTTCCAGTCCAATGTAGGAAATATATACACAGACTATTTGTGCCCTTATTTTTGCAATTCACAACACAACAACATCTATTAATAGGCATTTTAAAAAATTTTTGTTTATTACGAACTCCGTGCAAATTGACTTTACTTTCCCGGATTGTTGCGTATTTCTGCCACGATAAGCGCTGCGATCGCTTCACTATACCCCCACCATGTACTTCGCACATAGCGAATAGTCACATTAAAACAACGGGCCCTATAGTCTTGTTTACCCCAGGACACACGTGTGTGCGTTCTCTGCAACGATATTGGTACACTGCAAAAAGTCCGTATTCGTAGGAACACTACTTCCAGGATTAGACGATCTCCGTGGCTGAGTGGTAGGTACGCCGGGTTTTATGGTGTCTCCTACTTAGAGGTAGGAAGGTCCCAGGTTCGAATCCCCGTGGGGCAAATGTTTGTGTAATGAATACGAGCATTTGGGGCTAGGCTAATTAGTGTAAGTGTGGAAAATATGATTATTATATTTTGTGATATGTCATGGATGTTTCTTATGTATATAAATATAAATAAATATTTCCAACACTCACACCAATTAGCCTAGCCCCAAAGTAAGCACTGTAAGGCTTGTGTTATGGTATACTAGGGTAACGGATAGAATACATATACAGTGGATCCCCGGTAGTTCGACAAACATTTTGCAGGGCAGTGTGGAACTATCGAATTTGTCGGATTATAGAGTACTGCCTAAGACCCCCTCTAGTCCGATTTTTTTTTACAAAAGAGTATCTTGTAATCTGACAAATTACAGATCCAATGATAAGATTACAAATTATACTTTGTTATGTATGTCACTTTGTAAATTAAACAACACAATAGAAAGATTACGTTTCATTATAAAAGTAACGTCATGAATGCTATAGAATTTACAAAAAAATATAAAAAAACAATATTCTACGCGTCGAGCACAATAGTGATGGCGCGTAGTGTATATGTCGTGGCCATATCGTAGATTTGCTCATTTCATGAAATGCTCGAGTATTTCATGAAATGATCGCATTTCATGAAATGTCTCACTATCTATTGGCCACATCATGATGTGGTTTGGGCAGATCAATGATGAGAAATCGTTTCACGATATGGCCAACTAAACGCGCGGCTTCTTCATGAAATGGCCAAAATTATTTGATCATATCGTAAAGTTGTTAAATTAGTTACCGGTAGAGGCGCTGCAAGCGCTTTGTTTATATTTGTAAATGGCGGCCGCTG